CCTTCCTTCCCTCCCTCCTCCCTTCCCTCCCTCCCTTCCTCCTCCCTTCCCTCCCTCCCTCCTCCTTTCCCTCCCTTCCTCCTCCCTTCCCTCCCTCCTCCCTTCCCTTCCCTTCCCTCCCTTAATCCCTCTCTTACTCCCTCCCTTAATCCCTCTCTTACTCTATCCCTTAATAACTCCCTTACTCCCTCCCTTCCCCCTTCTCTCCCTCCCTCCTCCCTTTATGTAACATTGAAGGTATTAAAATACATCTTAATTTTATCTGTTGAGCTCTAAATGATGAGATTTAAACGTCATAAGGATTAAGTTATCAGCAGAAGTGATAAGTAATAAGTCACATCACTTCTAAGTGGAATCTCTGGTATGATTCCATTGGTATGATTCTGTCCCTATGGGATGATTCCATTCCTATGGTATGATCCCATTGGTATGATCCCATCTCTTTGGTATGATTCCATTGGTATGATTCTGCCTCTATGGGATGATTCCATTCCTGTGGTATGATTCCGTTGGTATGATCCCATCTCTTTGGTATGATTCCACCTCTATGGAATGATTCCATTCCTATGGTATGATCCCATTGCAGTACTTTACAGTGCCCCACCCATTCCTGCAGGAATCCACAGGAATCCACAGGAATCCGCAGGAATGGCACCGGAATCCACAGGAATCCGCAGGAATGGCACCGGAATCCACAGGAATCCGGAGGAATGGCACCGGAATCTGCAGGAATCCACAGGAATGGGACCAGAATATGACCCATACAACACCTTTCCTTTTTGCTAGATACATTTACACTAATATGCACTTATTCACACTGACTTAAAGGGCATGAATACTTTCTTATAACATTTATATATTTCAAATTTTATATATTGAAACCCAAATATACATCTAATTTACTATTTTCTAAGTTAAATGAAGGGGCAGGAAGAGAAGGGTGGAGGGGGAGAGGAAGGAAGGAAGGGAGGGAAGGAAGGGAGGGAGGAAGAAAGGGAAGGAAGGGAGGGAGGGAGGAAGGGAGGGAGGGAGGGAGGAAGGAAGGGAGGGAGGGAGGAAGGAAGGGAGGGAGGGAGGGAGGAAGGAAGGGAGGGAGGAAGGGAGGGAGGAAGGGAGGAAGGAAGGGAGGGAGGGAAGGGACAGGGAGTGGTGTGGGGGTGTGATAATAAAGGGGAAGGGGGTAGTGCTGGGCCTCGTCGTCCATCGACGTCGTCATCCTGTGTCGTCGCGTGGTTGTCGTCGCATTGTCGTCGTCGTGTGGTCGTCGTTGCGTGGACGTCGTCGTGTGCCGTCGTCGTAGTTGTGGACGTCGTCGCATTGTTGTTGTCGCGTGGTTGTTGTCACGTGGTCGTTGTCGTGTTGTTGTTGTCATGTTGTTGTTGTCGCGTTGTTGTTGTCGCGTGTCGTCGTCATAGCTGTGGACGTCGTTGTTGTCGTGGGCGTCGTTGTTGTCGTGGGCATCGTTGCCATTGTGCCGTGGGGGGCTTGTTTGATTTGTGACGTGGTGTTGCGGTGTTCACGTGGTCGTCGTGGTGGGCACTCGTGGATGGTGGTGGATGCCGTCTGGATGGTGGTGGGTGCTCATGCATAGCGGTGGTGTTGTTGTTGTTGTCCGTTTGGTTGCCACGTCACTGGCGGTGGTCGTCGCTGTTCGTCGCTTGGTGGTCGTCGCC